AGACCAGCAAAACGAACATTTTTAGCGACCTATTTCAGTTACGAGGTGCGATCGGAAAGTTTCAAGACTGCGCGTATAAAAACCCGTACACTTATCTCAGGTATTAAATTCATCCATCACCCTCGAAGTAGTTCCCCTGGGAGTGAACACAACGATCCCAGCGCCGCTGCCAAGCCTGGAAGCATCCCTGGAAATCTTTCTTTGTCAGCCTGTCAAGCACCATCTGCGATTCTGCCTGAATCTCTTCTATCGTCTCAAATCTCCTTCCCTTTAGCTGAATTTTCATCTTTGAGAAAAAGAGATCAGATTCCTCGCCCTTTACACAATGTGCACGAAGTGAACGCGTATAACAGAGGTATTTTGCTCCACGTGATTCAATACTGAACGCATCTGCTACCTGAGTCTGTCAGGCGAACTTAATTTTGGTTCTCATGAACAGTGAGTTCCATTAATACCACATACGAACTCCTTCACGCACAAGACGACATAACCAATGGCAATCCTGAATCCCTGCAGCCGTGGCCCATTGTTACACGACGTAATTTCAATTGTTCTGTTGCTCGACGTCAAACCACTGATAAACAATTCGTATGTACCGAAATTTTGTTATTGGTCGGTGGGTTCTTATTCGTATGGCTAAATACTTTACGAATAGCAACAAACGACTTCGAAGCGAAGAAACGTTCGTGAACGAACACACTTTCTCAATACACCATAAAAATATTTATATTTTTAAATCTAATTTACAACAACCAATCAAACACAATTTAGTCACCTCTTGTAATCAGGGTTTGTCGGTTTTAAAAAACCGGGTTTAAAAACCGGTTTTTTGGATACAGTTGTAAAATTCTAAAACCGGTTTTTAAAATTTAAAAAACCGGTTTTAAATACTACAATTAATATGTAAAAAAATTTGTTAAATGAACTAAAAAATTTAAAGACTGAAATTAGTTCCAAATTATTAAATGCTTTATAAGTTCGAATTCAAGAAAGAAGTCAAGTTGAATTGGTGACCCTTTTGCTATATTTGCTAAATCCACAAAACATTTCAACAAAGAAATCTAGTGTATTTCCACTAGCTTCGAAACTCGATATTATTAAGTTATCTGGAAAAATATTGTCTAGAATATATCCAAATTCTTGTATGGAAACAGATTCC